TGTTCGTTGAAAAAAAATGTATCACATGCTCTAGTAATATCTAAGTTTACTGTAACAAATGAAGACAAGCAATTATATATACATTGAGGTAAGAAAATTACCATGAATAAATGTGGCTGAAATTAGCCCCTTTATTTCTTTGCTCTTTAGGGCCTTCTCTTCTGTTTCTTTTTTGATCAACCAAAAAAAAAAAAAAACTTTATTGATGAAAACATATGAAGTATGACGAGATACATCAATAAGGGAGAGAGTGCAAAAAGCATCATAGTGAACTATCAAGATCCCAACGAGGTTGGTACCAAGATGAACACCAAATCATCTGCTAGCACAGGCTCCAAGCGGTGAGAAGCCAACATAAAGGGCAAAGCAAAAGAGGAAACAAGGAATCAGAAACAGGGTACAACCACAAACAAAATACAAATCAGAAACAAAAGACACAACAGACACCATCTCATCTAAAGACACAACAACTATAAGCACTAGGAATTCCACCCAACAAATAGCAATAGCAGCCTTTTAACAACCTCTCAACCCAGCAAACAGCAGCAGTGTGGTTGCTCGATCAAATCAGTATGGGAGTGACTACAAACAACAGCAGCAGAATGTTATTATTTGACAACAGAGCAGCAACAGAGCTTAACAGCAGATCAGCAACAGAGCTCAACAGCATAGCAGCAGCATAGCTCAACACCTTCAAGTACACATCCTAATTTGTTTTAGGAAATTCCACCCAACAAATAGCAACAACAGCCTCTCAACAGCCTCTCAACCCAGCAAACAGCAGCAGAACGTTATTTGTTGACAGCAAAGCAGCAACAGAGCCTAACAACAGAGCAACAGTAGAGCTCATCGCCTTCAAATACACATCCTAATCTGTTTTAGGTTGGAAACAAAATCATGGATGGAATATGAATAACCAAAAGTGTGGCTCTTCAACCAAACTGCAATTCTAACTTTGATTAGCTCAATAATTTCCAAGAGATTGGGTGGAGCACTGTTGAACACACAATCATTTATGAGCCTCCATATTGACCAAACAACAACAAGAGTAATGGCTTTCCAGATCTGTAATTCTTTCTTCTTAACTTTTGTGCCTAGCCACCAATCAAACAACCACAACATAGCTTGGGCAGACCCATAATAAACCCCACCAATCAATGATATCAGACCAAACTTTCCAGCTGAAGGGACAAAGAAGCAAAACATGATTAATGGACTCAGGTTCAGCTTTGCAAAATGTTGTTGTTGTTGTTGTTGTTGTTTTTTTTTTTTTGTTTTTTTTTTAAAGAAAAATGATTCGTTCACTCAATTTGAGATTGCCTGAATCATCCGAACCACCCGGACGACTGGTGCAATCCTTATCAACTGTGGCTGTCACCCTTATTGTTGGATGACCAGCCGATTGACCACTCGAACAACCAGCATAGACAAATTCAAGCGATTTGGGAAACTCAAAATTCGGTAGATGTAATATTGCTCTTTTTAAAATTACTTTTTTCCTTTATTTTTATTTTTATCTTTATCGTTCATCACCATGGTAGCAATTATTGTTCACCTTGTCTCCGTCATCGGCTTGCTACCGAGGAAGTTTTTAAATCTAGACTCAGATCTGATTTATGATCAAGATTTGACGTTGATAAACACGCTTTTATATACTAGGCGGCCACCTCAGATTCAAAATATTTTATTTGTAATTAATGTAGAGGTGAGCATTAATTAAGATATTCAAACTATTTTACACTTCTAGGAGATTCTCTTTATCCTTTTTGAAATCTATTTTACAATTTGATATATTTTAATGGACGACTTATTGCCAGATATGTAATATATTAAATCTGTACATTTTTATGAAAAACATACACACAAGTATATATATATATATATATAAATATTGTGGGGGGACAAAAAAACAACCCATATAAAGCCGGCTCACATAATACCTACATGGAATAAGAATTAAAAGATGAAATGAATAAGTTGTAATACAACTTGTCAACTTGTTCTGCTATACATATACTTAGACGGGTTTTTGGCTATATATGTGGCTTATACTCAATGAATGAAGTAACTAATTTTCATTGGATAGAATGGAAAGCATGTTAACCCTATATAAAGACTTATAGTTTTCATTGTGAAGGAGAGCAAAAAGAGGTATATCTTTAACTAATACATTTACTTGTTTAGTCTTGTATATATTATTACCTATCTAAATCGTCGAGTGTCCTTTGGCTAGCAATTGCTGGTCGGGTAATTTAGAATGGTGCAACTCATTTATTTGTTGATCTCTTGATTAATCAGTGGAGGCAAATTCCCCTTTTACGTATATGCAAGATGATTCTCTCTTCCCGATTTAAATGGTTTATCACTACAAGGATTTACACATTTGGCGACCACTTTTGCCGACCAAAAAAATTTTGGTCGCAAAAAAATGACATTTGGCGACCAAATATTAATTAGTCGCGAATGATCATTATTTTTGGCGACCAAATATTATTGGTCGCAGAAAGTTATATTTTGGCGACCAAAAAATAAGTTGGTCGCAGAAAGTGGTATGCTTTTGCCGACCAACTATAAATTTGGTCGCGAAAGGTCACATTTTTTTTGGCGACCAAAATTTTGGTCGCCAAAAACTTATTTTCAGCAACCAAAAAAAATTAGTCACCAAATTAGCACTTTTAGCGACGTTGATTGAGATTTGGCAACTAAAAAAATTTGTTGGCAAAAGGTACATTTTCTGCGACTAATCTGGTATTTTGGTCGCCAAAAATTTGGGAGGGAATTTTAAAACGTGGGGCGGGAATTGAAATTTTTGCACTAGGAAAATAGAAAAAAAAAATTAAAAAAAAGCCCTGTCCATCTCGCAAGCTCCATCGTAGGTGTAAAAACTCCAGTCTATCTCTCGCAAGCTCCATCGTAGGTCTTCGCTCTGTCCATCTTGAGCTCCATTGCAGATCAGTTAAGATCTACATGCTTCAGTAGATATATATCTCAGACTTCTTTGCTTCACCAACACTCCAGTCTATCTCTCTCTCTCTCTCTATATATATATATCTATATCTATATCTATATGTAGAGAGAGAAAATGCATAGTAGAGAGAGTAAGCAAAGGTACAGATCTAGATCTGTGGCGTGTGTGAAGAAGATGAATTCCATTGTAATGGCATCAAAGATCTTACTGATTGCGGTCTTCGTCTTCGATGTCATTGCCTTTGTGTTGGCTGTTGCTGCTGAGTAGAGGCGAAGCACTGTAGGCTCTGTTCCAATGGAGTTGATGTTGTGAATTGAATTTTAATTGAAGCTCTATTCCAATGGAGTCAACTTTATCTGTAACAACAACAACACTCTTCATTTGTCGTCTACACCGTCCGATTGATTGCCAATCCGTGTCTCTTCAACTCACACGACCTTTCAATGGCGAGTCTCAGAGATCAAAAGCATTGAATTCAATCTCTCATTCCCCAAATTCGCTCACGACTTTGTGTTCTGTTCGCTCTCACTTGCACTGTGCTGCTTCGCTCCCTTCCGCAGCCGGCGGTGACACGGTGATTTTGATTTGTCTATTTTCTCCCTCTTTGTCTCTTTTCTTCGTGTGATTTTGATTTGTTCTTTATAATACTCGTTCAAAGGTTCCGATCACTATTGAAACTCATAATCTGTAATGGGTCTCTTTTGTTTTGATCGATCAATTGGTATTTTTGGGTTTAGATCCTTTGTTGCAGATCGTTCTTGTTTCAATTCCGATTTTGGGAATCTGATTTGGGTTTTGCTGAACTTTTTGTTGGATGATTGTCTAAAGAATTTTAATAAATTATTCGATGAATTATCCCATTTATGATGTAAATATTTGGTTGTGGACAATTTGCTTAATCGTCGGAGAAAGGTATCCCCTTTTATCAATATTGAAATTTGGAAGCTTTTTAGAATGTTTTGGGTTGATTATAATAAGTTTGATTTCCCAAAAAGATTTTCTCTAAAATTTTAGGTTTTGAATTACCTCAAGAAGGTTGAGATCTGATTACTGGATTGATGGCTTGTTTGCATTATCTATGTAGAGGTTTTGCTTCCGCTCGTCATCACGCATCCGTCCACATTGCGGCGGATCGGTTCGGTTCGGTCGGTTTTGGCGGATCGGTATATCCGCTGCTCACCCCTAGTTTGCATTCTTGTATTCAGAAGGCATTTGGGTTTTGTTTCTAGAAGAGAGAGGGGACTGACTCGGGGAGTCAGTGTAACTTCACGGGCTTAGTGTCCTCTCTCATCATCCTTCTTTATCTTGTTATTATTTCCACAAGGGTTATTTTCTTGATGTAAATGCTTAGCAGAGTTAGGTTTTGTTGATGAGCTTCGAACACTAGGTGGAGGGTTTTATTCTATTAAGATAGGTTGACAGTGGTGATTTGGGTGGAGGATGTGTAGCGAGTGTGAAGAGGATTTTGGAAAGCCAAGTTAGTAGGATGTATATATATATATTGTCAGCCTTCTTGTTCTTTATATTTTCTAATTTCTCTATTTGGTTGCCTACAAAATGTTCCCTTTACTTATATAAAGGGGAAATTAGTGTTCAGTGTAAATTTAGAAAAAATAATTTACATATTAATGGAGGGTTTTCTTATGATCTCATAGCAACAAATGAGGACGGTTCTGTGAAATTACAATCATTGACAGAGTGCATACATGAGCGGGCCAAACATCCTCCTCTGAAGAAGTTTCTTCTAGTTCCAAGTGATTTTGTCAGTGCTGCTGGGTAGCTCAACTTGCAAATCTGCATATAGAGGTATCATGTTTTTCCTCACATCTAAGGAGGTCATTGTGTCGTTTTAAGGTTATTGTAGATGTTGTGAACTGATAGTTCATTTCCCCTGGGAACTGACTTGGGTAATTGGGGTTTTTGTTTGTTTTTAAGTTAAACTTGCTTATTTTATTTATACCAGAAACCTTTTTATGCTGTAATTGTCAATTTTTATCTTTGCTTGATTGGTCGCGTGTCTCTTGGTGGCTGATAGTTTTTATTTTTGTTGGTATTTTTTGTTTCTTATTTTTCTAAGTGAAAGTAATTGGTGCACAAATAAATTGCAGGAAATGTAAATGAGCCCTAGGAAAATTAGCACTGGAAATGATATGTGTGTGGGCTCACTGATTCTATTGATATGATTTGGTATGTGTTGTTAGTTTTGGTATTGATAAATTTATTGTTGCACAGGCTACTGATAAATTTATTGTTGCTCAGCTGAGAGAAAATTAGCCTGTGATCTCGGTGTTTTTGTATGTGTTGTCAGTTTTGGTATTCTATTATCTGCACTACTATTTGTCCCTTGGACTATATTTGTCCCTTCAAGTTTTCATTGAGGAAACCTACTTTGGATTTCTGGGTGAACTGTGTCAGATTCGTAATTATTGTGGTTATATGCAATGCTGCTGCTTATATGCAATGCTGCTGCCATGGAGGTACATATATTATGACATGTTGAACCAAGCTATTTTTAGTAACATGTAACGTGAAGTACTTGATGTTTTTAGATGTTCTTTTCCTCAGGCACTTCCCATATTTCTGTATAGTCTAATCACTGCTTGGGGTGCCATCCTGATTTCAGTTACATTGATACTTCTATTTGGAGAGGTGAGGGATTTATCTTAGGTAACATTTCTTTAGAAGAGAGCTATAAAATTTGGAGCAGGTGGACAGCTGCTTGAATTTGCAGTGCAATTTATGGTTTATTAGGGTATTCGTGCCCAATTTTACCCACGTAAAACTGATTTCTTATCCCTGCAATTTGCGACATGGGGAATTGAGGTGGGAATGTGTCTGCCCATTAGAAAAAGTGCTTATTAGAAAACTTGAGTTATGTTCTTGTAGCATGGATACATTTTCTGAAGAAGTGCTTTTAGAAAACTCAAATTTATTTTTCGCATCATGATGTTTCAATTTTCCTGGTTAAATCAGCATGGTGAATTTGCATGCGCTAATTACTACTAGTCTGTATGAACAGATTATACAACAATCTGTTTGTTCTAGATATGGGTTGGCTATTGGTGCAGTTGTAGCCCCATTTGTCTGCGTTCTTGTTTGGATTTGTTTTCCTGTAGCATATCCAATAAGCAAGGTACTTGTGTTTGCTCAGCACTATTGCATTGCATTAGTTAAGCAAATTCATTGGTTGGTCTTTCTAATTAGTCTTCTTGGCTACCCTTATTCTCTGTGATTTTAGCTATTATATTTTCTGCTAGGACATGTACATGTAGCACTTTTCCGTAGAGCTGAGTTGAAAACACTGGTTGATTTGCATGGTAATGAGGTAAGTAGCTACATTTTTTAAAGTGTTATGAACTAACAACATTTTTTTATTTATTTATGATGCAATTTGGTCCATCCCCCTCCCATGTCCCTACTGCCCACCCACCCACCCACCTACCTACACCCAAAAGAAAAAAAGGACAATAATGTTTTTCCATCCTGTTATTGTTATTGCTGTTAGTTTTTTTCTCTATCAAGGCACGAAAAGGACAAATCACAGCTCATTCATATGACAAACAGTCTATAATTTTTGTCATAATAACAGGAAAAGTTCAATTGGATACAGGTATGTAGGGACACGACACTTGATGCCAGTCCAGCATAGTTGGGAATTCAATTTCCCCGGTTCATGCTTATTATTTTAGTACACATCTTTTTTCAAGGCAGTATCATTAGAAATTGGTTTAAGACATACTATAGGATGGCAGTGAATCACAAAATGGCTTTGTGTAGTGAATTCCTTGTAGTTGAATAAGGCTTTGTTGAATGAGCATGCTCAGTTTTTGTCTATTGTCCCCCCCCCCAGAATTTTTCTTTATTCACTCTTTAAGACCGTATTATATAATTTTTCCATGTTAAAAATAGACCATGTTGGGGCCTTATTTTCATCTTCTTGATTGTTTCTCCTACTAAACAACTGTCAATTTCCTTAGGGTATGTAGATTGTTGTTTAGCACTCTGTCTCGAAGACTTGAAGTCCCTCAGTGGCCTTACTATGCGAAATTTGAATCTCTATGTTCTTATAAGTTATAAGTACTCATCAAACATCTTTCTCTAGCTATATTTGTATTGTGTTTTCTCAATCATTGTTGTGTTCTCTTGATTCACAAAATTAATTCATTCTTTGTGTTTCATTAGTGATGACAATATTAAAAGTAGCTATCAATTTATGTGTTTCATTAGTGTTGCCAATTTAAAAAATATCTGTCAATTTCTGTATGTGTTTACTTTTTTCATGTAATGCAGTTATGTGAGGGAAACATTGGGACTTTGGAGGAATGGACCATGGAGATGATCAAGCTGCAGTGCTAAACCCTGGGAACAAACCATTAACACAGATTACTGAAGATGATTCATTTAGAGAATTTGAATTTAGACAGTATTTTTTTGCCATGTTCAATTTATGGCATGTAAAATTTTTCGTAGCGTTGAGTCTTTCATTTATCAGTAACACTTATATTATTCTTCTTGCATATTGGAAATTGGGATGCACTGCTTGAACTTGCTTTAGTACGTGCTCAGTATATCATAGTTAACTTAATTCTACATTTTATTGTTAAACTTCATTTGTAATATCTATACTAATTGCCTCACTGGAGCCATACTTTCTTAAGTTTTCTACAGTGCTTGTTATATTGGTCAAAACTTTAAATATTTTGTCTCGCCACATTTCAAGGGTACTTGGTTTTCTGCAATTGTGTTTTAACTTTGTTGCAATTATACATCTCAATTTTGCAGCTTTTATTCAAGTTGAATCGTCCCTTTGAGGTTGCATCAAGGGGATATTCATTTATTATCAGCTTTTCAAAGGCATTGGCACTGCATGAGGTATTTGACATGTTGTTCAATGTTCACTCACAGTAATAATAGTACTTTTTTTAAGCTATTATTGAAACGTTATTTATTCTTATCCTTTTTACCTCTCTTTTCTTGGTGTTTTTTTCAGAGTATGTTACCCTTCTGTATGTGTGAAGTTTGGGTGATAACTGCTTGCTTGGCTTTAATCAATACAATTGCTTCTCATTATAGTGATGGACAAGTGGCACCTGATATAGAAACAGAGTTTTATCGCCTTCAAGGTGATCTTTATTCACTATGCCGGATTAAGGTAAAGTTTACACGCATTGCAAGTGACTTCCAAACTCCATATACTTAGTGTGATATAGTGCAGTGTTTGCATACTATACTATGTAACTTGGTGAGTGGAAGTAATCAACATTTGTTATTTCAACCGAGAATGGAGTTTGAGGGAAAAAATAGTTGTCCAGGCATGTTTTTTGCTGACATATAGATGCGATGATATGTTTCATTCCATTTTTATTTCTCAATGGTTTCTCTGTGACAATTAACAACCATTTTTTTTTATTAAGAAAAAAAAGAATAGCCATGCATTTGTTCACTTGTTTCTACAAATTTACTACCATAATTATTGCTTATTGCAATGTAATTCCCCATGTTGCAGTTCATGAGGCTTGCATATTTAATTGGTTATGGATCAGATATAGAAACAAGTCCTGTCAACAGGTAGAAACACAACTTTTTAGCATACCAATCCTATTTGAAAGTAGTAGTCAGCATTGCCAAAGAGTTCCTTTGATCTTGCACTGTGGTCCTCCAACTCTCTCTCTAATATATTTTTCTTTTGTGCAGTGCTTCACTCAGCATGCTACCTTGGCCTAAGCCCGCAGTTTGGCCTTTAGTTCCACCTGATGCTTCATCTGAGGTGTTTGAGAAGGAAAAGGTGAGGTTTTTAATTTGGTATTATTGACATGTAACTACGAAAAGGCTTGTAAATTTGAGCACTGATATAAATTAAATAAACCAACCTTGTACTGGTTATTTCGAGGATACTTCAATTGATACTCTGCTTCTTTTGTTATAAGTGATTCAACTGGTTTGCTGGTTGTTTAGAATGAGTCTTAACTGAAGTCAAATAAAGTTAATTACATTTTAGGATGAAAGAAAATTTTATTCATAACTCGAAAATCATTTGATGGCTCAGTATGATGGCCTCAGTGACATCCTAACAAAGCGGCCAATTTTAATTGGGCCAAAACTGAAAGCTACTCTGGAAAACATGATCTGGTTTTTTACTTTCTTTGTAAAAATTAGTTTTTTCAATAATGCCTCCTGTGCGCTGAGGAGCTTCATCATCAACATCTTTACTTTGGATTATTGGAAGAAATAACTGAACAACTGTGGGATAGTCAAATTTATTATTGTCGCAGTTCAATTACATGCATTAGTCACCAATATGGATCTTAGATGATATCTAGAGCTGGAGGATTGTAAGGACCAGGTTGTCAAAAAACAAAAAAAAACCTTGTTAAAAAAAACAAGCAGTTTTTGGAAATTTGTACTACTAACCTGAGCAGTGCTTGTGTCCTTGCATTGAATTGTTATGGTAATGTGGCTCAAGTTGAGGGTTAGGATTAAATGTTTCACTAAAATAGACTATGTCTTTGTGGGCACTTTTTCTGAGACACAACATGCCCTTCCTCACCTCAGTTAACATGTCAATAATGCGGTTTAAGTAATCCTTCTCAAAATTATCGTAATTATAGTTGTTACTGATCCTAATTTCATTCTCATTGAAAAATGTTATTGTTTATGTATTCCTTAAATCCATGCAGATGATTATTCAAACGACACCAAGGGTTAAGCACTTTGGTATTCAGAGGAAGCCATTACCTCTTGAACCATCTTTACTTCTGCGTGAAGCTAATCGCCAAAAGGCTTCTCTTTCTGCTGGGAATGTGTTTGAATTATTTGATGGTCGCTCAGCTTTTATTGATGGGTAATGGAAATTTAGTAATTGAATGCAATATATTGTTACATGCTATTCAAAGAAATGCATAATTTCTTGGAGGGGGAATACAATCTTGTTGGTTAGTTCCAGTGTTTTGACTTAAAATGTACTAAACTGCTTTAATTTGCTTTGGAAGCAAGCATACTAGTTGCTGATAACAACCTTCCCCCCTCCTTTTTTTCCCCTCTAATTGTTGAAGAAATGAACTCTAATATTTGTATCTTTGTGTATATGTAAATGTCTTTGTCTTCAGATCCTTTGAATTCTTTTGAGCCCTTACCTAGTTGTTACATGCTGGCAGCTTAGGTTCAGATGCATCTCCGAGGAAGCCCTCTTTCAGCTAAAGTAAATACTGTTTCCATGTCAAGAACTAATTCTTCACCTGGAAACTTTGAAAGCTGCATCGATCGACCTATGAGACTTGCAGAGATATGTGTTGCTGCTGAGCATGCTCTGCAGAATGGTGGACCAGCAGCAGTGATGATTTTATGAGTTATGAGAAGCCAACAAGACCCATTCTAAAGGTATCATTCTTGTTTAATGGAAAACCAAAACAGATTTTGATGATGTGTATTATAATAAAAACAATGATGAGAAGATGATGATGAGGATGTGGAGCAATCATTATACCATCGTATTTTATATTGCCACCTTTCCTGTATATAGTCTCCCTTTTAACATGACATGGATTGGTTTGTGACAACGGACCACTTTGTTGATTCATTTATTCATCTCCCAATGCATTTCCATTCTTAGGTGTTTAAACCAAGGTCTCTGGTCGATCTTGCTGCATCTGTTTCATCTACTTTGCTTATTAATGAACCTCAATGGGATGGAATAGTATATAATTTTTGTGCCTTGTCCTTTTCATGCCTTGTCCTTTTCGTGCCTTGTTCACAAATAGTATATAATTTTTGATCATCATGCAAGTGGATTCTGTAGTTTACCTTGTTGATGCATACGACAAAGAGAGATTTGCAGAGGCCAAAAAGGAGCTGGATGCCCTCCTTTCAGACGATTCACTTGCAAATGTCCCGTTTCTCATACTTGGGAACAAGATTGACATACCCTATGTTGCCTCAGAGGATGAGTTGAGATATTACTTGGGTTTGACTGGTGTTACTACCGGTAAGGGTAATGTTGACCTCGCTGACTCAAATGTCCGTCCTATTGAGGTCTTCATGTGCAGTATCGTGCGCAAGATGGGATATGGTGATGGCTTTAAGTGGCTTTCCCAATACATTAAGTAGGAGAATCGAAGAATGGTTTAAGAAGCAAGCGAATGTGCAAAGCCATCTAAGGGTAACTTTCATGCCACTGCTGCATGAATGGATATATTGGGAATGTAAAGTTTAATATGTAGCTTTTACCTTGTTATCTTGCAGACAGTCTTGCTATTTTTTTGGTGGGGAAGGTTAAGTTGATTCTGTTCTCTCTCTGTGTCTGTCTCTCTTTGTACTTGACACAATTGTAAAGAAATAAAGTTGTGGGGAAATGTTTATGATTGATGGGGAAATGTTTCGATCTTTTGCATTCCATGGCAACTGAGAGTGTGAAATGTTGTACTTTTGTCCCAAATTCCCAATAGCTTTTGCTAATCAAAGCCCCAAAACTAGTAAGGGCACTCGTGCCTCAGTAAGTTATACTTTTGCCGACTAAATAAAGTAGTCGGTGTATCACCAAGCACATTTGGCGACTAAATAATTAGTCGTTAAAATTATTAATTTTGGCAACCAAAGGATTTGGTCGCGAATAGGTCTATTGCCGACTAAAGTTTTAGTTGCGCAAATCATGTTTGGTCGCGGAATGTGACAATTGGCGACCAAACAATTTGGTCGTGGAATGTGACAATTGGCGACCAATTTTTTTGGTCGCGGAATGTGACAATTGGCAACAAAATGTTTTTGGTCGTGGAATGTCACAATTGGCGACCAAACTTTTTGGTCGTTGAATGTGATAATTGGCGACCAAACTTTTTGGTCGCGAAATGTGATAATTGGCGACCAAACTTTTTGGTCGTTGAATGTGATAATTGGCGACCAAACTTTTTGGTCGTTGAATGTGATAATTGGCGACCAAACTTTTTGGTCGTAAAATTTAGTCGGCAAATCCGACTTTTCCCGACCAACCAAAATTTTGGTCGCGAATTACTTTTGCCGACCCTCAATTGGCAACCAAAGTAGCGACCAAAAAAATTGGTCGCAGATAACTTTTGCCGACCAAAAATGGGCTTTTAGTGACCAATTTTTTGGTCGGCAAAAGTGTTAATTCTTGTGGTGTATTTTATTATATTTATTTTAAAAGAATACATTGTCCATTTTTAAAATTATATTTGTCATTCATATTTTTTAATGAAAAATATAATAATACAATATAAACTATGGTTATAAAATCAATTCGAATTTTTTTATTTTTATTTTTTTAAAATGATCTACATATCTTATAAATAAATGATTCAAATTATCTGATGAGGGTTTTTGCTCTTACCTTCTATTTATTCATGTAATTTCATATGCATTGCATGTTGATTTTATCAATAAAGTATCCTTCTTTTGCTGATTAAAAAAAAACAAAAAAGCACCCCTCTGGTCCACAGTGTGCACTTGAGAGATGGTACTGACCATATATATATATATATATATAACAACCGCTTAACTGCTTGAGATTTGTCTTTTTTTTTTTTTTGATTTTGCCTTTTTATTTTGAATAATTTACTAATTATGGCTTATATGTTGAGTGAAGATTTTTTTGTAATTACGCAAACATTTTTGGTCAATTATGCAATATTTTTTTCGTAGTTATGAAAACATACTAAATCAATTATGAAATAGATTTTTTCGTAATTACGCAAACATTATTGGTTAATTATGAAACATAATTTTTTTTATATTATTTTTGAACAAATTATAAATACACCCATAAAGTTGGTTTAAAATATGAATCGATCCTATAATATTAGAAATTACAGTTACCGTTTTTTATAAATTTTAATTTAACACAATGCTCAAGGAAAAACAAATTCTCCTATGTAATAATAAATTATCAAAATTGTTTGTTGAAAAATATTTCTCATATCATTAAAATTTTTTAATTGATTTAATGATTTATTTATTAACAAAATAGTTAACTGAAGGATATTTTTCATATCATTAAAACTTGTTAATTTACTTAATGATTTACGTATTAATAAAATCGATTATTTGTTGTATGAGTATGATTTATGTATTAATAAAATTACTCATTTGTATATATATATATATATGCACTTTCTTTTGTTTTTTAATTAGTTCAGTGAATTATCTTAGTAATTTTTTTTTTAGATGAGAGAATTATCTTAGTATTTGTTTTATATTTATTTGATGAGAGAAGTTACACACCATAATTTTTTTTATAAATTCAGAATAAATGTTAAAGACTCACAAATTCATCCAAAATGATATGATAATAGAATTGGACTTTATACCATTGGATGTATAACAAAACAAAAAATATACATGTCATACCACATAAGTCTATTATATATTGAATAATTTGTTTTATTCAATTTCATACAACAATATTTTAATTTTTAAAAATTTATCAAAATATAAAATTTAAACATACTTTATTTCGAAACTAGTATATATATATATATATATGTATAGTCAGTTTTTAGGTTGGCTAGTTTGCGGCAAACTGAGGAACCGAATTGACCTGGTTGGATTGACTATTTTGTTTTCTTATCAAGATCCGACATTGGTCTTGACTTGGTTGTTATTTCATTAATTATATCTTGGATCAAGATTGACGTGTTCAAGTGAGCAGATCCTCCATCTTCCATGGCTTTTCTTGCTATTACTCCAAGTTCTTTTGCTCTCTTTCTTCTTCTTTCTCCTTCTCCCCCACCCATTATTCTCTCTATAGCCTCCTTAACTTCTTCTTTCTTCACCAACACTCCAACTTTCTCTTCCTCCCCCCACCTAACTGTGACCTCAACACCAACTCTAACCCCAACCCTCAAGATCTCCACAATCAATTTCTCATTAAAGAATTGCTCTGCAAACATAGGCCATGTTATCAATGGCAATCCAGAGCACACCCCTTCTATTGTTGAGTTCCAACCACAGTGGGTTAAGAACCCTTTGACTGCTGGGTGGGACAGAATGAGAAGCTGTGGAGCCCAACCCTTGATCAGAAGTCCCCTCCCTTTGATTCTCTCCTCAAAATTCTCATCCAACAACCACTTTTCTAGCTCTTCAAATCTCTCTCCTAATTTGATCACCCATATGAATGGGTGATTTGATGCTTCCAAGCCCAACCCAAGCTCCATCAACTGTGATGGGACTAGGCGGCATTGGCTGCCAAGGCAAGCGTAGAGAACATGTCTTTGTTTCATTGAGTCAAGCCATGCCAAGCACTTTTTCTCATCAATTGAGGCTTTGTTTCCTCTATCAAACTTGTCCACGGTCTCTTTGTTACACAAAGAAACTGGTCCAATGCACCACACTTTCTTTTTTATAGCCTTTGCATACTCCTCTACACAACCATGCTCTAACTCACTGAAAGAATTCACCACCACTCCCAAAGAGGTTGATTCAGCTTCTCTCATCTGGTCGCGAATATTGTTCAAGTCCGGCATGGAGACGAATGCTCCTGGCAACTGGGCTTTGGTTATCTCAACCCTTTTCGGCATACCTTGTTACGAATGTAGAAGAGAAAATTATTAGAATCAAGAAAATAGTGCGATTTTAAGGCGTGTTAGAGACACTATTGTAAGGTGATAATTGCTTTCATTCCAAAAAAAGTTTGGAAGGTCTAGCATGCCAGCACAAAAAAATTAATTTGAAAAATAAAAATTTAGTAACAAAAGGATCAAATATTTTTGTTGTAAAAAATATCGTCATTATATTTTTAACAATAAAAATTAGATATTAGTGATGAATTATTATCCTTTTAGGACTAAAATATTTATTAACAAAAAATATAAAATATTGTTATTAGCACATACCTAATTTCTTTAGACTCCCCAATTTTCACTTTTTTTTTTTAATAATTATAATTATACCTTGAAGTAAAATTACGGTATAGGATAATTTTTAATAGAACACCCACTCACCAAATAAAAACAATTAGAATGATACTCTACAAAATTGTACACTTATCTTCATCCCCATCTATACATATTCCTTACCAATCTAAACCTTAATCGTATTCTTTTTCATCACCTCCTAAACCCACGTATTCATCTTCAATAAAAAACATTTGAAACAAAATAATCAGTTAATGTTTTGTTCGGTTGTTTCAAATGTGTTCGATATTCCAAATCAGTTAACGTTGCAAATAATCTTATTACAAACTCTGAGTTTCTACATTTGTGGTCATTTTCACCATTTGTTGATATTTATAGAGCAATGGAGGACAATGACAACAACTCTAATGAGGTTGGCGTTGCATTGGTAAGTTTATTATCTTGTATTTATGATTTTGGGTTATTTTTGGTTCAGTATTAGTTTGCTGATTGTTAAGGTTTTATTTAGTAATAAAACGCTGAACATAAACATTTAATTTAGTAATACTGTGTTGAACATGAACATTTCGTTCTTGGAATGCTGAATGGTTTCATTTTGTAAGATTTTTTTTTCCCTATTTTGTTTTTTTTGAAGGTTTTTTCCCTCTAAAACCCCTTGTATTGAGGGTTATGATCCGAAATAAACAAAAAAATAAAAAATAATATGTGATGGAAATTTGGAGATTACTTGAGAGAAGAAGAAAGAGACCATCGAAGGATTTCTGACGAGATTTCGTCTGAGATACCATTGTTCACGGTGACAAAGAGAAAGCGACTATTGTTTATGAGAAAAGGAGAAGAGAGGGATAGTCGATTTGTTTGTCAATTGTTTGTTGTTCTCAATCATTCATCGCTTACTGGGAGAAGAAGAAGAGTGGGTGTGCAAAATTAGGTGGGCATGCACTTGGGTGTAATGATATTATAAATATGGATAAAATTGGTATTAAGTGTAGTGTTCAAAGAAATCTTATTAAAATTTAGGGCTTAAGGTGGGGGTTCAAAAAAATAAGAGGTCTAAAGAAATTAGATAGGCGCTAATAGCAGTTCTCAAAATAAATCCTTTTGGGACCAAATTATCTTGTTCCTAAAAGTATATTTATTAGTGATATTTTAAAAATTTTGTCGCTAAAGGCCTTACTTTGGATTTTTCAGAATGACATTTTAGCGGTTATTCTCATGACGATATAAATTAGTCCATAAATATTTTTTTGTAACAAAATTTTTATTTTTAAAAATAAAAATATTTAATTTTTAAAACTTTTATATGTTGTAGTGATACTTGAAAAATATAAGTTGATAAAAGTTTGAGGATACAACAAAATCACTAAACTAGTTTCCTTCTAGAAGACTTTTGCAAAATTGTGTATAAGACTAACATAAATTGAGACCGACAAAAGAAAAAAAATTTGTCTGTGAATCCCTCCCCCGCCCCTCCTTAACTACCCCCGAACCCCTTTCCACTTCTCCCCATCACCAGCTAGTCCCATTTCCGTCCTCACCACCATCAACTATCGCGAGGGCACCTTACATTATTTTTTCTGGGTACACTACAACAAAAAGCACAAATGGCGACTAAAAAAAAAATTTTCGTCGCTGAAAGTAGCACTTTCAGCGACTAAAAAAGTTTAGTAGCCAAATGTATAGTTATTGGCGACTAAAAATCAGTTTTAGTCGCCGATTATATGGGTTTTAGCGACTAAAAAAATTTTAGTAGCCAAAAGTCAAGGTTTTTGGCGACTAAAAAAATTTAGTGGCCGATTATATGGGTTTTAGCGACTAAAAACATTTAGCAGCCAAAAGTATAGGTTTTGGCGACTAAAAAATAGTTTGGTCGCCGATTATACGTGTTTTACCGACAAAGAAAAATTTCGTAGCCAAAAGTGAAGCTTTTCGACTACTAAAAAATATTTAGTAGCTAAAAGTCAACAATTGGCAACTGAAATTCAGTTTAGTCGCCCAAAGTGGAGGGTTTTGGCGACTAAAATTCAGCTTAGTCGCCAAAAGTGGAGGTTTTAGGCGGGAATTAATTCTTTTAGCGACAAAAAGGTAATTAGTAGCCAAAAAGTATAGAATTGGCGACTAAAAAACAGCTTTAGTCACCAAAAGTGGTCTCACATTTTTTTTAGTAAATAATTTATTTTTTACATAAATTATATTAAATAAAAATAATTATTTTTGTATATATAGTTTTGTATTAATACCGGTTAATATACTATATAAATAATATATGTTGCATTTATATTTATTTGATGTTGTAGTGGCATAGTGGGGAGAGTGTGTTGGTCTAAAGGTTGAGAATGTGGGAGGTTGGTGGTTCAAAACTTGGGAACAGTAGAGGGTAATTTTTCTTTTTCCTGAAATATGCTTTTGGCGACTAAAATGTGTGGTCGCCAAAAGCTTGACTATTGGCGACGAAAAAAATAGTCGGCAAATGTATAAATAATAAAAAAAATAATTCACTATTGGCGACTAAAAGATTAGTTGCTAAATGTATAATTTTCAAAAATGTAATTGACTATTGGCGACAAAAGCTTTGGTCGCTAAAGACCTGTTTTTTTGCTGACTAAAAATTTTTTAGTCGCCAATACCTCCGGCGACCATGCATTCGCGACAAAACTGGCGACTAAAATATTTAGTCGGGGAAAGTGAAAAGTCGACTTTTGGTGACTAAAAATGGACTTTTAGTGGTAAAAAGTTTGGAGGGAAAACTCTAGATTTGTAGTATTGTTTAATTAATTAATTTATTTTTGAATAAATTGTAAATATATCTTCTGAAATTTATTTAAAATATAAATTACCTCTTATAATTTTAGAAATTACAAATACCCCGTTGTCAAAGTTTGTCATTTAACAGAGTTACCAAACCAAACCAAACCAATCAAAACCAAATCAAACAAAATCAATCCTTAAGTCCCATTAAATAGGATCAGCTATATGAATAATTTTTCTCCACTCGACTCTGTCAACGACTATTTAGTTAGTCAAATTAAGGAGATTCATATATCTTACTAGCCCACGTCAATTTAGATCTGTCAATTCTCTTAACTTTCTTACAAAGTTAATCTCTATTTACTAGAGTAAACAAAAAAAAAAAAAAAATCCTTAACTTTCCTAGTATACAATAATGAAATTATCATTACTATTAATTTAAATAAATTGTTGACATAATTAAAACTATTAATTGAATCAAGGGCAAACTTTGCTTTGCCTCTTGTGGTTTGGGTCATGTACGGTTTACATCTCTAATATTATATAACTCTCTTGTGGTTTATAGATTAAAGTTCACCGTTAGCCCCGCTAACGATTTAGTGAAAATATCTCTGTATTTTCGTTATTTATTTGAAAGGTAAAGTGTACTTTAACACCCTCTGCTTTATTTTATGTGCGATTTATCCATTTGAAATTTGAAAATGAGTATATAAACCGCCTTAGTTTGCCACGTGTTTCACACTTACTGTTAAGTTTGACACAATATTTAACGGTACACTTTAATTCACAAACTACAAGAGGTGTAGTCATTTCTAAACGTTGGGAGGTAAATCGCACATGGCCAAAATCATAAAGGATGAAGTAAAGTTTTCCTTTGAATTAATATTAATTAATGAAATATCCCATTTGTTATGTAATTAAAAATTTTAAAAGACAAAATGTAATTTACAAAATTTTAGGGGGCCATTTATATTTTGAAAAATGTTTCAAACCCCCTTTTCCTTCCACCCCTTTGACCCCTTTCCCTCCCATTGTTTTTTTTTTTTTTTTTTTTTTTCAATCACCACCCGCCACGTGTGTGAGGGAGTGATGATTGGAGGAGGTCTCTATCAATGCGGTTATATTTTTAGCAAATTTTAGAAAATGTATTTGTAATTTACCCTTAAACTATTTATTTTTATTTTTTATTTTTTACTAACAACAAAGAAACCTTTATTATACAGAAGAAAATACCTTACAACATACCTGGCACCACAAAAGGTTCCGAGTCAGAAGTGACAGAATGGTGAGCCTTGTATAGCTGCAAATTATGGGCGCTCAAAAGTGAGAAGCAACAAGTCCCATGGAAGACCAGCCTTGGGATCTTGAACTTGTGAGCTGTCTTGGAAGTCCAATACAAGCACTTGTCTGAAATTATGCAGCTTGGAGGTGCCTTTTGTTCTTCCAGGTACTCCTCCAATGGCCTTTGTAGCTTATCAAGTGCAGTGTAAAATTTTCCAATTAGTTCTCTTGAAGGCACAATATCAAGATTTTCACACCCTAGTGGCAGCCCACAATCTTGGCAATGAAATGGGATTTCTAGGAGTTGAATCCGAAGCCCAGATTGTCGCCTAGCTCGATGAATGGTCGATGCAAATCTAGAGGCATTGTGAGGGGTGGTGACAAAGGTTACCATCACACCATGCTCTGCCAATAGCTTGGCCATGTCTATCATGGGGATTAAGTGGCCTTGAGCTGGTAATGGAATCAATACAAAGTGAAGATGGTTTGAGGCTGTCGATGATGCCATTGCTGGGAGCTTGGTTGAGTTGAGAGATATTTAGAACGTAGAATGGTTTGGTTTTGATCATATGACATGCATTGTTTTGAATGTGCCAAGTCTTATAAGGTGAGCTTGACTTGACTTGCTCGATTTACATGGATAAATTTAGGAACTTTGAACCCAACAAAAAATTAAGTCTTTGTTTGGAAGGATTTTCAAATCATAATTCTACCCACACATTCTAATATCATGTTTGGATAGAGTTTTTCAACTATATTTTCACAACAAACAGAAAACTCTGTGTCAAGCGCGATTTTTGGATTTTTTTTTTTTTTAAATTTGGCCTAACCGGTTGTCTTGCTGGTTGATCGGAACAGTGCAAATTTTTTTTTGTTTTTACAATTGACACATGCTAATTTTTATATATTCAAAAAAAATATTTTCTGAATTTTTTAAATTTTTTTATGAGCTTTAATAGAATTTTGAATTGTGTGTTTGGTTATGAATTATAAGTTTTTGTATCAAATATCATATGACACATCAAAAATTTCCCACTCAATTCAAAACTATTTTCAAAACTCATTTTCCACACTCAAATCATAATTTCAAAACTCACAAACTCAAAATACAACTTCTATTCTCAAATCATATTTAGAAAGTTCTACCAAATGCAACCTAAGGTTTTAGAAAAACAAAAATTTAGGGACAAAATTACTTTTAAAGAATCAAATATTTTTGTTGTCAAAAGTGTTATTATTATACTTTTAGCAACAAAAATTGGATATTAGTGATAAATTATTATCCTTTTGAGACCAAAATTTTTGTCTTAAAAAATAAAGGGAGACTTACGTGTAGGTCCTAACAAGTAGACTTATTATCCAATAAGTCCTATGATAATTAATGACATTTTTCATCAAATACTATTAAAAAAAGACACTAATTGTTAATTTTCAATGACAGTTTGAAAATCTTGTCACAAAAAATATCACTAATTATAAGCTTTAGCGATAGTTTAAAAAAATCGTCACAATAGAAGTCACTAATTTTCAACTTTCAGTGACAGTTTGAAAATTTTGTCACAGAAAAATATTACTAATTGTAAGTTTTGGTGACAATTTATAAAAAATGTAACAAAATAAAAAAAGTCACTAATTGTCAATTTTTAGTGACATGAAAAAAATAGTCACAAAAAATTATTTTTAGTGATAATTTTACTAAGAATTATTTTCAATAGGACTTGATGAAATTAAGTTCAATTATTAGAACTTATTGGTAGTTTATCCCAAAAGAGGGAATCCTTTTGGGACCAAATTATTTTATCTCTAAAAATGTATTTATTAGTGACATTTTTTTTTTAACTAAAAGCCTTGTTTTTTATTTTTTGGGATGATTTTTTAGCGATTCTTATGACGATACAAATTGATTCTTAAGTGTTTTTTGTAACAAAATTTTTATTTTTAAGAATTAAAAATTTTGATTTCTAAAACTCTTATATGTTATAATAAACTGACTTGGTTTGTTCATCTGGAATTCTTACTAGGTCATCTTGCTTATGTAATTATCTATATTATTGGATCTTCATGATTCATGTAAAAGTTCATGTGAATTTATCTATGAATAAATTTATTTGGTGTATAATTGATGGTGTGTGGGTGATTTTCCGACCACACTCCCCGTTTAGTAACCAGCTGGAAAACACTGGCAGAATAGATGGCACCTGACTGACCTGCAACAGAAATATAAGAATCCCGCGGTGGTTTCAACCACCCGGGGGCACTCCGATGATCAAGTCAGTATATCTCTCAAAGATAAATCAAGTACTAAACTCACAAGCTTGAGTATCAAAAGCATACCTTAGACCCATGGGGGTGCCTCTCTTTTATAGCCAATACAATCCTAGTCCCAAAAGGAGCCTGACCCTAATGGACTTAGGATTACTGCTAATCTGGAACTCCCAGTGAATTTAGGATAAACTCTCTAAGAGTCTTATCTTTACCCAAACTGAAGTCTTCTTCCAATCTAGGACTCTTGTCCATATCCAAGTTGAGTTCCCTCTTCATTCTAGGACTCTTGTCCCTTATCCGCTTATCTCGGATTCCGATATCTTCGGAGGCAACCTCGGCCTAGCCGAGATAACCTCGGCACAACGACCAAGACATGTGGCACCTCGGCTGACACGTCGGCGTCACCTTGCCACGTGTTGGACCTTGGCACAACGACCAAGACACGTGGCACCTCGGCTGACACGTCGGTGTCACCTTGCCACGTGTTGGTATTCAGAAAATATATCCCCACAATTGCCCCCTAAGTTCTATTACCTCTGCATTCTGAGGTGATAGAACCTACATTGCCTGTTCATCTGTGCCCCTCTGTCCGAGATCAAACTCGCCAACCTCAAAGTTCTCTGGACTTTACTGTCCACTGGTGTCAAGAATCAAGTTTCATGCTTTCCAAGCTGCTTGAAATCGCACCTCCTAGCCGAGATTCTAGTTCCATTAATTTGTAAACTCCAAGAGTTTTGCAACTGCTCTACTCACACTCTCTGGTGAGTTCCCGATTTCCAGTCATCTATTTGACTCCGGCGATTTTCATATCGGCGTTCATTTCTCTTGGTAGGTTCTCTTTACTTGCTATTAAGCTCAATCTTTCATAACTCTTCTGAATCTGTTTACTTACCATCTGTTGCCTTCTATTTTCATCTGTTTTCAAGTTTTGAATTGTTTGAATGCCTGGCACTGTCCTTGTCATATCCGCTTTCTGTTGCTAGTATCATGTTTGGGTCATTACTTTCTTGTTCTTCACATACTTATTTAGTGTCTGTGCACTTGGCTTTATTCTTGAACTTTGTCGTCTTCTTGACTATTTTTTCTTTTTTTTTTCATTTAATCCTCTGGCTTTTTTTCCTTTCTAGCTCTTTTGCTTAAATCCGTCATTGTTCCAAGCTTTCAAGCTCTGCAATTGTTTTCGTTCCTCTCCTCCGGTGAAGCTTACGTTATTCTGTCATTTTCGCATCCGTCGTCAGACTTCGGCAATTCTCATTCCGGTTTCCCTCTTTCTGGTAAGCCACTTTTCCTCCTGGTTTTATTTCTTGTTGCTTTCCAAGAAGCTTTGCTTCATTGTTAACCATCATTGTTGTTTTACCCGTTGTTTCCAAATCATCTTCTTGAATATACACTGTTCACATATCTGTTTATTGTTGCCACTGTTCTTGGCTTGACACACCTGTACAATCTTTTCGTCTTGATTTCCTGATAGCTTCATCACCATTTTTGATTTACGAATTACATTCTTGTTTCTGTTTTCTGTGTCTTTTTCCAGAGTTTTGCTTTCAATCATTGCTTTCAAAACGCCGAGGTGCCAATCGCCGAGAAAAGCTTTGATCAAACTCTTCAGGAGATTGATGCTGAGCTTCGTGGCTGAGAAGGCTGCTGAGAAGTTCTTTCCAACTGTCTTCTGGGGGTGAGACACAAACTGCCGCTGATGCTGAGTAGTTTGCTTCTTTCTTGAAATTGATGCCGAGGTAACGGTAGAGAAGCTCCTCCAACTGACTGCCAAGGCTGAACCATCGTCGTCCGTTGAAGCAGATCAGTCCGACATTATTGCTTTCAGTCCCTAGTTCTTTAAGGTCTTCATTTTTGTACTTGCCAACCTTCTCAGCTCTTAACAAGCTAGTTGGTCATCTCGGATGATCATATCTCGGAAACGTCTTTCAGTGTTATCTCGGCTATACCAAACTTGTAAATTGCTACAAATTTCAACAAGTGGTAGACTTCATAAGCTTCGGTTAACTCATCTTGTAATTTGCTCAAAAATTTCAACAAGTGTTAACATTCCTTGCTCCTTAATTATCATTCCTTCCCCCTGCACCTTCTCCCTGCCCCCTAATGTGACCATAAGTTGTACTTAGGATCACATTAGGGAAGTTGGCTTCGTGCCGTAGTCACAGACCTGATGTGTTCTGCTTTCACCAATGTATTAAAACTTCTGGTATTTAATGCACCCCCTTTAGACCCTCTTTCTCTTGGCCTTTGCAAACTATCATCGCTGTTTCTTGAAACATTTATTCCTTTCACAATTCTGGTCACCACTTCTGGCGTGCACTTAGTGGTTCTGTTCTAATCAAAACGACGTTTGACTCCGGAAAATCTTTTGCCGACATTTAACTTTGTGCACTCTCAGAATTTCAACAAGTGTTAAACAATAATTCGGTTTAACTTCGGTTAAGTATCATCTCAATTTAACTTCAGTTAAACATCACCTCAGTTTAACTTCGGTTAAACATCATCTCGGCTTAACTTCGGTTAAGCATCATCTCAGTTTAACTTCGGTTAAACATCATCTCGGCTTAACTTCGGTTAAGCATCACTTCAGTTTAACTTCGGTTAAGCATCATCTCAGTTTAACTTCGGTTAAGCATCATCTCAGTTTAACTTCGGTTAAACATCATCTCGGCTTAACTTTGGTTAAGCATCACTTTAGTTTAACTTCGGTTAAACATCATCTCAATTTAACTTCGGTTAAACATCATCTCAGCTTAACTTCGGTTAAACATCATCTCGGCTTAACTTCGGTTAAGCATCACTTCAGTTTAACTTCGGTTAAACATCATCTCAGTTTAACTTTGGTTAAACATCATCTCGGCTTAACTTCGGTTAAGCATCACCTCAGTTTTTGAAGTTTTCCTTTTTTGTCGCTTGTACTCTTGTACCTTTTTGTCTTTTTAGACAATGTAAGCTCTGCATATGGTCGATGTGCCTTCTTGTTCTTGAATGTCTAATGCAACTTTCCTTCTCTAAATGCTTGTACCTTTGTCTTTTCTTGACTGCCTTTGCATGATTCTATACTTAAAATATTTTACGTGTCTTTAGTATGCTCTTCCTTCTTTGTGCAACCTTCTCGGGGTGACATACCTCGAGTATACAAATTGATGATTTACCTCGGCAATAACTTGTCCTGTAAACTTTGCATAAATTCCAACAGATATAAAACACATACTATTTTAATTTCAGTCTATAAACTTTCTTTAAGTTATAACAAGTGTTAAATAATGATCTACTTGTAAATTGCTACAAATTTCAACAAGTATTTAAACAATATACTTAGCTTTTACTTCAACCTGTAAATTGCTGCAAATTTCAACGGATGATCATATGTCGGCTTAACGTCATCTTGTAAATTGCTACAAATTTCAA